CCCTTCCACGTCTCGGTTTTCTTGCCTGGGTTGAACTGCACATTACGGCAGATGTGCCTCCAGGTTTATCCCAAATCCTCGGGATTGATAGATCCATGCCCGCTGTTACCATCTCCGCCACTTCTTCTGGACCCGCATCTTCTTCCTCAGTCCACTGGGCACCCACCGATGACTGAACTGCTGCACATTCACATTGGAGTTATATCGTCCTGGTGCCTGCCTTCATTACCGGTGTTAGGGGTGCAATGGGCAGAAACGGCACCCGCGGCACACACACAAAAGTTGCAACAAAAGGGTAAAATGAGTGATTTGCTATCGGAGACGTTGCTTCTCCTCTTGCTGTGGGCGACATCTCTGGATTGAAGGGCAATACTGCCGCAGAAGCTGGCTTTGTTATTTTATCTTTAACCCCTTCATGACTGAGGTTCTTCGCCGGGTGGCGAGTAATGACCTGACTTCCTGATTGGCCGAGAAGCCGGCTCCTTGCTGATTGGCCCGCAAGCCATCTTCCCAGCCAGTCAGCAATGGTCATTGCTCGCCGCCTGGCTTCCTGAATGGCTGGGAAACCGGTTTCCCAGCCAAACAACATGGATCCGGCTTCCTGGGCAATCAGGAAGCCGGGCAGAATGCCATTGCATGCAACCCTGCTTCCTGATTGCCCGGGAAGTCGGCTCCATGGTACTCGGTATCTGCGAGTACCGAAAGCAAAATATCAGTACTCGATACCGAAAATGTGGTTCCCTAGGAAGAACTTTGCTCAGTTTTTTTTAATTGTTGTCTGTGTTGTTTTATGGGGAGATTTCACCCTTATCATTGAGACAGGAAGTGAGAGTAAATCTGTCACAGGATGACAAACCTGGCAGCGGTTCTAATCCTTCCCCATTCTACTAAAACTGGGATTTTACTCCTGTCTGTGAATTGTACGTTTTATATTCTGTCTATACATCCGACCAAAAAGAGGGACAACAAAGGAGAAAAGAGGGGGAGGCACATGGGGATTGGGTTCCAAAAGAGGGACAGTCCGAATGTGCCCAATTTGGAGGGAAGTGTCTACCCTACTGCTGGTCACCTCGTATCTATTCGGTAGGATGACCAAGGATCAAAAGTTACCTCGACAAGAAGAACCTTGACACATCTGCCAATCCTTTAATGCACCAAAACCCCCCACCCCATGAAAGTCTCCCTGTTATCCATTTATACTCCTCTACCTCCCCCCACACCGCATGTTATGATTTTTGCTTGGGAATGCTCCAAAACTTTTATCCTGGTGGAAATGCTGCTTCCTGCCCTGCAGTGCTCTGTGTTGGCAGAGCTGAGTAGCAGCCACACCTTTCATCACAGGTGTCCTCACACAGCCTCGTATTTCACAGAAGGGGATGGGGGAATGTCTAACCAGGTTGAATATATTACTGAGTACACAGATATTAACTGTTGCCATATGTCATACGGAAGCTTTCTGCACTACTCCTGTAACAGGGCGGTGGAGCAAAGAGTAGGAAACTGGAAAGTCTTCCAGACTTTAGGCCACTTTGCCCCAAGCGGGGTGACTACTTACATTTTGTTTGATAGGACTCTATCCAGTCTCGCTGATTACATAATCTGTACACTTTTGGCTTTCCCTGGGGATTCTGTTATTGATTGCATCTGCCTGTTGCTGGGTGTGACCTTGCCACAGAGCAACCAATAGTGGAATGTCATGGCATTCTCTCCAGCCAATCAGTAGGAGTTTCATGGCCACTGGTGCATGCTGGGAAAGGACATAAATATCTGGGTCTGACCATGTGAGAGCCTCTTTCTCCCTCCTGGATTTGTCTTGTGTTGGCTGTCTGATCAGGCCTGAAGCCCACGGGTGGTCAGGTGTGGACCCCGCCGGAGTCAGGAATTATTCCTGGGATGGAACTTTGTCTGCCAGATGGGCCAGGATGGGCTCGGACCTTGTAGGCAGTCTGGTGTCTCACCCAGGGGAGATCTCATATATGTCTGCTGACCAGCTATGGTTCTCTTGACACAGTGGCACCGCTTTTCCAGTTTATAGGGCCTTTGCACTGTGAAGGTGGAAAGCATTGGGTGAGTCTGGAGTTTTGTGTTACCCTAGATGGCGGCAGCCCTAACCCTTTCTTCCTGTTTGCCGTTCATGGAATAAAGCATTAGAAAAAAACCTTAAAGTGAATGGCGCCCAAGAGCTATATTTTTGCTTTCACATCCCACATAGCGGCTAAGGATTGTGCCAAGGAGCAGACAGAAGCAGGGAGGGGTAATCGGAAAAGACGCACCCAAATATATATATTTCACATGAGACTGCTACATGTCTAGCATATATGTGCCATGTTTGTGATCATCTCCCATCATCCTCTGCAGGGTCACCATGTCTGAAGGAATTATGAGTAAAGCTGCCACCATGGAGATCCCCATTAGCAGCAATGGTGTCTCCGGGACCCTGAATGAAGATGAGAGTTTGGAGCAGGTAAAGTTGGTCTTTTTTCGGAATCGTAAAACTGTCTATGGCTCTTTCTATTTTGTTGGCAGTGCTGCCAAATGTTTTCCCTTTCCCTCCGTTTTCTCCTGGTCTCGATGTGTCCATGTCAGGCATGTTCTCTGGTCTTCCATTGTCATGGCCACCAATTTCCTTCTTTCTCCTTATCTCATCCCTCCTGATCTCAGATGTTTCCATGTCAGGTGATGTATGTTCCTCTGTCTTCTCTGCCATTACCACCATTTTCCTTCCTTCTTCCCTCCCATTCATTCTCATTTCCAATTTGTTCATGTCAGGTTATGTATGTTTCCTGGTCTTCTGTTATTTCCACCGGAGTCCTTCCTTTTTGTCTCCTGTTTTCCTCTCCTGATCTTCAATGAGTCTTTGTCAGGTTATGTATTTTCCAATCTCTTCTCTTGTCAATAATGCCAGGGTCCTCCTGTTCCTCCTGGTCTCCGATGTGTCCATGTCAGGTTATGTATGTTTCCCTATCTTCTGTTGTCATCATCACCCAGGCCCTTCCTTCTCATGTCCTGGTCTCCAATGTATCCTTGTCAGGTTATGTATGTTCCCCTATCCTCTATTGTCATCACCAGGGCCCTTCCTTCTCATGTCCTGGTCACCAATGTATCCTTGTCAGGTTATGTATGTTCCCCTATCCGCTATTGTCCTCACCAGGGCCCTTCCTTCTCATGTCCTGCTCCTCCTGGTCTCCAATGTATCCTTGTCAGGTTATGTATGTTCCCCTATCTTCTGTTGTCAATATCACCAAGGTTCTTTCTTCTTGGCTCCTGGTCTCCAATGTGTCCGTGTCGGGTTGTGTATGTTCCCCTATCCTCTATTGTCCTCACCAGGGTCCTTCCTTCTCTTGTCCTGTTCCTCCTGGTCTCCAATATGTCCATGCCCGGTTATGAATGTTCCCCTATCCTCCTATTGTCATTATCACCAGGGACATTCCTTCTCATGTCCGGTTCCTCCTGGTCTCCAGTGTTTCCATGTCAGTTTATGTATGTTCCCCTATCTTCTGTTGTCAATATCACCAAAGTTCTTTCTTCTTGGCTCCAATGTATTTGTGTCCGATTACATATGTTCTATCCTCCTATTGTCATTATCACCAGTGTCTTTCCTTCTCTTCTCCTCCTGGTCTCTTGTATCTACACTTGAATGTTCCCTTCTGTTCTCCTCCCTTTCTTTACAGCCCATAGTCCTTCCTTCTCCTTTCTCATCCTTCCTGGTATATAATATCTGGGTTACCGTCTTGTTAGATTATCTAAGTTCCCTTCTGGTAAACCTAATCAGACAACAGACTGTTCGGTCTTCAAGGGCTTGATACTTTATTTTGATTGTTCTTGATCCACACACGGTCAGATCGGTGTACCCTTGTTCTGGAGACCCCTATCAGTGTGCGTGTATCCGGGCCCCAGTGCTAGCCAAATTTAATGCAGTTGTGGTCACTTTACTCCTTGGGAGCAGCTGGTCATGCTGCATAAGGCTTGCTGCATGTTACTGTTTTACATTATAGCCAGGGGTATGGAAAATTAAAAAACAAAACTACTTGTCCAAGGACTAAATCGGGGGCCCAATCTACTGTACTGGATGGCAGTATGGGGTACCGATAGTAGACCCGCGTTGGCGGATGGGAAGGACCGTTCGCCGAAAGGTAAGTATAGAAAGAGGAGGGGTGGGAGAGCGGGGCCAGATTTGAGGTGCTAACTTTATTTCCCGAATTATTTGTGAAAGTGAACTTACCCTTTAATGTACATTGTGGGTGTTGGAGAGCTCCGCTGACCGGCTACCACACTATGGCACACCGTGGTATGGGGGACAGCGCTAACACACAATGCCCTACGCGTTCGTTTATTCGCATGCGGCGGGGGTTGGTTTTCATTTTTGTTAATTTAATTTTTTTTTTCACTTAGCCCCTGTGTGATGGCAACAAAGTTAACAAGCGTTTGGAGATGACAGGTTCTCTTTATGGAGCCTGCCCTCCAATACAGAAGATCAAGCGCAGCATTGTGGTGGATCTCCTGTGCAGCTCTGGCTTGTGACAGCTGAGACCGGAAGCATTGTAATTACAGCGCTCCTGTCTCACAGATGGCTTGGGGACGGACAAGCAGGCTGCTCCAAGTGAAATGGGCGGCTGTACAAAACAAGTGGCAGCTTCCTCGCTCTACATTTCGCCTCGCTTTCCCGCAGCAGGGGTTAAATGTTGGAAAAAAACACCTCCCCGGACTGCATGTCCCTGGTGTCGGGCGACAGGAATTGGGCACCCCTGTATAGCAATGATTTTGCTGGATTCTTGTCAAGATGTCCCGACAAGGAACGGCTTTCCGTTTGGTTATTAATTTCTGATTCCTGATTGGCCGGGAAGCCGGCTCCATGCTCCCTCATCATGAGGTGATGAGGGAGCATGAAGCCTGCTTCCCGACCAATCAGAAAGTCGGGCGCTACATCATTACACGGCAGCTGGCTTCCTGAATGGCCAGCTTCCAGCCAATCAGGAAGCTGGCCAGCGCGTCATTACACGCTGCCCGGCTTCCTGATTGGCCAGCTCCATGCTCTCTCGTCAAAAGTGATGAGAGCATGTAGCCAGCTTCCCGGTGCCGATGCCGAGCATTTGGGTGGGTACTCGTACTCGCCCAAATTTTCCTATGCCTAGCCCGATACTTCCGGTAGCAGGAAGCTGGGCGCTGCATCATTACACGGCAGCTGGCTTCCTGAATGGCCAGCTTCCAGCCAATCAGGAAGCCGGGCAGCGTGTAATGATGCAGCGCCCAGCTTCCTGATACCGGAAGTATCGGGCTAGGCATAGGAACATTTGGGCGAGTACGAGTACCCACCCAAATGCTCGGCATCGGCACCGATACTAGTATTGGTATCGGTGCATCCCTACCCCAGATATATTGATAAATGAGACCTGCGCTTCCTTTTTTATAGGAACTGAACTGTGGAAGCGGTGCCCAGAAAAGATGGGGTGAGGGCAAAAGTACAGTAACGGGTATTGTGCGTGGTCTTTCTGCAGCGCTGATTTGTCCTGCTCTGTGTGGAGGTGGCCATCTTGGTAGAGGCAAGGTTTTACTTCTTTGTCTCAGCCCTCAGAAAAGGGAACAGTGAGCAACACGGTAGTGACCTGACCAGATCTTGTGCCAAATTTGCTGAGCCTAGCAGTCGGAGGCAGCAGTGCCTTAGATCTCACAGTGTAGATATACAGCTATGAGGCTGTGGGTGCACGGGTGCTTAGGTACCCTCACATAACAGGAGGTGCACTGCTATTTTCAGGAGGAATTTTAGACAAAAGTTGGAGTTTTCAGGGTACTGTTGGCACAATTGACATTTCTAAATGTTCCTTAAAAAAAAAAACGTTTGAGTTCAGTTCCAGTCAAGTTTTCATTTTCCATCCCCCCCGATGGCTTCCGCTGTCCCGAGTGCTGCATTGCCATTCTCCGTCCCTTCCTCTTTCTGTGTGTGGAGCTACTTTTATATTGTTTTCATTCTGCTGTTAGATGTAAATTGTGTTTTTCACGTGGCAGGATCTGCAGCAAGTTATGGTTTCCGGCCCCAACCTGAACGAGACGAGTATCGTGTCCGGTGGATACGGAGGAAGCACAGAGGGGATCATTCCCACCGGCAACCTAAAGGGTAAGACGGGCCACCGCGTAACCTGTGTATATCTCTGGGCTCCCTGGGATATTTCTGTGTTTTATGGATCCTTGCATTCCTGTGCCTATGCCATGTGTGGCCATGTGGATGCTGAGGCAGGAAGCCACTGTGACCTTTAATCGTCAAAATGTCTGAAATAATAACTGACTGTGTTGCCCATCGCTCTCTAACCCGTGGACCTGGTTTGTTCCAGATACTTCCCCCCTGCTCATATAGAATCTATTGCACGATAGTGCAAGGGGATGGGCCAACATACAGTTAAATTCCTCTTGTTTCATGGTCCCGCGATCTCAACCCCCCCCCTTCTGTTAATGACAAACAGTCCTCTGCATATATAACAATGTTGGCGAGAGGTGAGGGAGAGTGATCGGCATGAAATGTGCAGAACCAGCAGCCGCCTCATCAGGATGGGGCATGGCCAGTGGTTGGGGTTCCTGCTCACATTTTGGGTGTCAGGGTTTTCCAATGGGACAGAGATGAACAAAAACAGCCAGATGAGGTGACTGTCATTCCATATCGGGGGTGCCCATAGGGCCTTTGTCATTTTTCTGTTGCTGAAGGTTAAAACACCACTAACACAGTTACTAAGATTCAGCTTCTTATGGTGGTGCTCGCCTCACGTCCCCAACGGGCGAGGCGTCACTGCTCTTCACTAGCGATGGAGATTATTTACGTTGTTCAACCCGTGCAGATTGGCCGTTGTACAATAGAAATGGTAGCATTCTTCTAAGTAGGGCTGCAACTATTTTCATAATCGATTAGTTGGCCGATTTATTTTTTCAATTAATCGGATACATTTTTTAATTAATAATTATTTAACCCTTTCGCTGCCAAGCCCTCCGGAACATTTTTCAAATCAGCTGGCCAAGCCATTTTTGCAATTGTTTCCTATTGATTTGATTTTCAACTGCTGGGTTGCTAGCGTTTGTAAAAGACCCCCCAAACCATATATTTTCTGAAAGCGCAGGCCCGGTAGAATAAAAAGATGGTGATGGGGGGCGCCCGGTATTTTTGATGATAGCAGTCATCAGCGGCTTGTGAGCCGCTGATGACAGCTATTAATTTGAAGGGGACTGTCCGGGGAACAGTTCTACTATAAGCTTAGTAGAACTGTAAATGCCAAGTCCGTACGGCATACTGAGCTGGCCAGCCAGAAGCACTTTTGTACCTCCGTATGCCGTACGTCCTTGGCAGCGAAACGTTTAATATTATTATTAGTTATTAATAAATAGTTATTTATTTAATGAACTATTAGTTAATTATGAAATATTGATTATTAAATATCATAAATTAATTAAATGTTTATTTAATGGACGTATCAGCATATTCATTCTTTCTGCATAGCTCTCATCCCTGGCGTATGTCACAGATAGAATTTGTGCAGGAAGGGACACCTTACCAGGCGGACTGTTCTCCTCTCACCACCACAACGCTTTTGTCTGGGGGAAATCTGATTGGCTGCACGCTTGAATCCGCATCCTGACTCAGATTCATATGTACGAGCCGATTGGCTAGAGATTAGATTTTTCATCACCTAGCTGAGCGTGGGAGAGCATATTGCTGGACACACTGCACGTGAAGCTCTGCACACGTGTGACATGTATCATGGGCTTCACAGGTTTGATTGTGTTCGCCAGAGACGTGACCAATCCTGATCCTAGATGATGTACACACTAAGCTCCCAGGGGCCACATCACCCCAAGGCAACCACTACAGGGACATGATATAATTTTCCATCCTGTCCAGTCAGCCTTTTACCCCAACAAGTGGACGGCTCATGTAAATCATCCCCCCGTCCTCGGGAATCGGGAGTCCTCTGTCTATGGGAGGATATTCAGGAAGGACTTCTCTCTCCCCGATCTCTGTCACAAAGCAACTGACGCTTCAACTTCTGCAATGCTAACTACGGCTATAAATATCCCCAAGATGGAAAAAAAACATTCCCGCTGCACATATATATTCACCCGCAAGGTGTTTTGTGCTTTTCTGCAGATCAGCAATTAGCAGTGTCAACTCGCAGCGCTGGGGCTTTGGGTCCTTCTTTCAATGGAGACTCTGTCAGGGTTGTTTGTATGTTCTCCCCGAGTCTCATCCCACAATCCAAACAAAAACTGGGAGGGTAGCCGACTTCTCTGTGTAGCCCTGAGGTGACTAGCTCACTGTTCTCTGTACAGCACTGCGGTATAGGTCAGAGCTATATAAATGTATAATAGTGTGTGACTGTGGGGGGACATTAGAGTGTAAGCTCCTCTGTACAGAGACTGATGTGACTGTGGGGGGGCATTAGAGTGTAAGCTCCTCTGTACAGAGACTGATGTGACTGTGGGGGGGCATTAGAGTGTAAGCTCCTCTGTACAGAGACTGATGTGACTGTGGGGGGGCATTAGAGTGTAAGCTCCTCTGTACAGAGACTGATGTGACTGTGGGGGGGCATTAGAGTGTAAGCTCCTCTGTACAGAGACTGATGTGACTGTGGGGGGGCATTAGAGTGTAAGCTCCTCTGTACAGAGACTGATGTGACTGTGGGGGGGCATTAGAGTGTAAGCTCCTCTGTACAGAGACTGATGTGACTGTGGGGGGGCATTAGAGTGTAAGCTCCTCTGTACAGAGACTGATGTGACTGTGGGGGGGCATTAGAGTGTAAGCTCCTCTGTACAGAGACTGATGTGACTGTGGGGGGGCATTAGAGTGTAAGCTCCTCTGTACAGAGACTGATGTGACTGTGGGGGGGCATTAGAGTGTAAGCTCCTCTGTACAGAGACTGTGGGACTGTGGGGGAGGGGACATTAGAGTGTAAGCTCCTCTGTACAGAGACTGAGAATTTGCATATGAGCAGCCTGAAAGTACAGCCAGATATATTCTTGGTCAGGAAGGTGCGTGTGCTGGTCAGGTGTCCACATACTTTTGGCCATATAGTATAGGAGAAAGGTTTTGGGCGAAGTCTCATTGTTCAGTGGTAAGTACAAAATAAAGTTCGAGGCAGGAAGTAGTTTGCAATTTCTGAATCTTGGAATGAACAGCTTATTGTGAGGAACCTGACCAGATGAATATTACTTCTCTGTATTTTTAATTTGCCGGCATATTATGTGGTGCCAATCGGAGCGCCTTCCTTCATGGTCCTCATTCTCGGTTCCTGCAGAGGTAGAGCTCACCCTCTGGTGTCATTTACCTGACTCGGACTCTATTTACACATTCAACACATTTAACCAAGATCTAGGTAAGAACTAAGTGACCCGCCAATGTGGTGTTTTTGGAATGTGGTGTATCTACAGGAGGTCCATACAGAACGAAGAGTATTTTGGGTGGATGTAGGATCTCATGGGGGTTTTTTTAATCCCCTCTGATCATCACTGAGACACTGGTGAACAATACAAAGGTTAGATGCCAACAGACTTGTGTAGTGTGGGAGAACCTATAATAGGTCCGGTCCAGTCTCCTCCTGGTCTTCTTGTGAAGGACATTGTCTCAGGACTTGTCTGAGGAGTACTTTGACTGGTCATTGTCCTCCATGATGTCCAGTACTCACCTCTGACATCCTCACATTTGTAGCCTGGAGCTTTATATACATTACAACCGCCTCTTGTTGCCTCATGTTTTAATGTCTGTGGTTTCGTTTAGGGCCCGCGGTGCAGATAAACCCCCGCTACATTGGACTGCGACCCTTGACGGCAGAGGGACAAGGTTTCTGGACTAGTTTTTCTACTACTGTAAATTAACCTTGGCATGGTTCTTGGCCTGGTCTATCAATTTACACCGGGCCTTGTCATCTCTGCATGTTTCTGCTGGTTCTCTCTCTCTCTGTCAGCGGGTTATACTAACACCCACACTCCCCCCAAACCTTTTATTATTCTAATTGGTGGCCCTTTAACTCCAGACAAAACTTTTTGTGGCTTTTGCTTTGCATGGAGTTGGAAAGTGTTAGAAGCTCTGTTGGGTTTATCCGGGTCTGTGTACCCATTGGGAAGAGTTCATCTTTCTTCCTGTCCTAGTGACTGCCACCTCTGGTTCCGATATCAGAGGGGGGCTTGTATAAGGTTCTAACCTTCCTCAATGCTATCCAAAGCTAAAGAACAAAGGTTTTGGCTGAAGTTGTATCGTGAATGCTTCTTGGGATGCACCAAATTCAAAGCCCAGGAGAAGGTTTTCCTAGTCAATGGATTTTGTATTTGTCAGGATCCGTGTTATGCTGATACTAGACAGGATAGTGTCATCACTTCCATCCTATGTACTTTATTTTAGTACATTCCATTCAAACATAGAAAACATTATATTATTTCTAAACCCAACAACAAAAATGTCATATATTGCAGCTTACCAGTCCTTAGAAATGGTGGTTTCCTCAACTGGTGATCCTACCAATAACCTGTCCTCAGGTGACAACATCACTGACATACTGTATCAATTGAGGAGCAGCATTGTCCCCCAAGGTCAGGAAGTGTCTTAGCACTACAGAACACCCCCTCCTCATCTCTCTAACATGGGGGGGGGGGCGGGTGCTTTGTATTTTAAGGTGAGAACACAGAACAATAACTGGTAACAATCAGCACAGACAGGGAGCACAGGAAGTGATCAATTTACAAGATTTTTGGCAGGACCGACAGGTACATTTTGCACTTATCAAGTAGATATAACACAACACTTTCAATGGTATATGTGAAGAAAAACTCAAGGCACAAATTGTATTAACCCTTGAAGTAGGGCTACCCCACACTGCAAGGGTTAGAGCAGGGGAAACCAAACTCCAGCTGTGGTGAAACTACAAATCCCATGATGCATCTCTCTCCGGGAGTCATGTCTGTGGCTGTCAGAATCTTGCAATGCCTCATGGGATTTGTAGTTCCACCACAGCTGGAGAGCCGGAGTTTGGCTATCCGTGGGTTAGGAGCTCGTTTTCGTCTAGGGGGCCTGGGTGAGAATAAAATTATACTCACCTGAACCTTGGAGCCTCTCCTGGCTGCTACTCGGGGCCCCGGAAGCGTGCCTCTTCCTCCGCTCCAGCAATGATTTATGTATATGGTGCATCCTCAATCCTCTACAATTGGGTGCTTCTCTATACGGGTGGTCATTTCTTCCTGCACTCTGATTGGGTGGTATTTCTTCCTGCACTCTGATTGGGTGGTATTTCTTCCTGCACTCTGATTGGATGGTATTTCTTCCTGCACTCTGATTGGGTAGTATTCCTTGGTGTTGGTATCTGTACTTTGTTAACAATGGAGAACCTTGTTTTTAAAGTTGTTTGCACACATCACTACCCAGGCAAAGGTTCTAGTCATGCTCCTGTAATATTTCTAGAATCATCCATGTTTAAGTATTTCTTTATTGAACTTGACAAATCTTTGTATTTATTTCTGGTTGTTTTTTTTTTTTTTATGTTATAAATGTCGCTACTTTCCTGTGCAAACGCCGGATCTTGATTGGCGGTGGACAGGCCGGTGGTGCTGATACCAGCTGGGTATTAGGACCTGTGTCCTGTGCATTCCAACACTTCAGTCGAGCTTAATTGTCTGACCCTTCCCGCTAACATACCAGCACTACACATAAATTACCTTATCACGCCTGGCAAGAGGCCAGGGCTGAAACTGAGTCTATTAATCCGGAGCACAATGGATGCAAGACAGTTTCATTATATAGCCAATGAATCACAAAGCAAACACAGTAAAAATAGCTTCCGCTTCTTCTCCATTCTTAAAGTACCATTCCCCTTCGTGCTTTTTTAAAGGGGACTTTATACCAGTGAGCTTTAGATGAGAATATATTTGTCACAGAGCTCTGGTGGAACCTTTTTTTTGTTGCCAGAGGCAACAGCGGACAGCAGGAAGGACAGATGCTAGGTGGAGTAACTTTCTAGACAAATAATCTGAGCAAACAGACCGTGTTAGAGACAACAGACTGATGGCCAGGTCAGGTGCCAACAGAGTCCAAGTTCCGGACGGGTAAATGGAGTAATAAAGCCCGTGACACGCTGCATGTGAACTGACACGCTGCATGTGAACCCGTGCAGAGCGGTCAGGTGCGGAGCTTCGCATGCAGTGTGTGAGCGGAGTGCAGCCAAATGAATGACTGCATCTTCGCGTAACAACCGGATGGACTTGGCATCGTGACGCGCGGGTTTATACGCGTGAGCCGATTTTAAATTTTCATCTCGACACGCTCAAGCTCCAGAAAACAGTAGGCCCCCCTGCACTCCTTACAGCGCTTCCGGTCCAAGTGGAAATAGTGGTGCTCGCAGTGACAATCATGGATGGCGCCGTGTACAACAGTCAATGAATGATCGAAATCACCAGCATTCAATCAATGTATTTGGACTAAACGTCACACATATCTCATAATCCAACAATTCGTGACCACGCAGGGTCCCTTCATCAGGGCAGAGATGTGACGTTTAGTCCCAAAAAAATTGACTTTTTTAAAATTTCATTTACGGAGTGCTGGTGATTTTCTATCATTCATTGACCCGCTCAAGCTGACGTGCCGGAGAGAAAATGACATGACACATGCGAAGGCAGCGCGCCACCGATCCGCCTTGCTTCGCATGCAGTGTGTCACAGCCTTAAAGGAGGACTATGGGGTTAAGTCTTTTCCCCATAGTTCTCCTTAGGGTAACGGGAGGACACAAACTAGCGTCCTCCCGTCACCCTAGGCTCAGATGCTCGCAATATACTGAGACGCTGAAGCGGATCCCGACAATTGTGCCGGGATCCCCCCAGCTGCGTGACTGACAGCTGGCTCTGCCTACCTAAAGGCAGAGCCAGCTGTACCCGCCCCCTCCCCCGTCCGTTCCGCCAGTCAGCGCTGGCGGGGAGGGGCGAATCCAGCCCCTCCCCTGTCTCGGCAGAGAGCCGTGATAGGATCGAGAGGTGAGCGAACTCTGGTATGTGTTCGCTCACCTCCCGATCTACTGAGCCGACCTGTGACAGTCTCATTGTCGCAGGTCAGCTAGAACTATGAGGTGAGTGAAAAGCACTCACCTCATAGTTCTCCTTTAATGCTTTAAAGCAGAAGTTACACGTCGTTGATTAGGATAAACATAGACAAGCCGAGTATGAACATCTTTCAATAATGCAAGGCATGAGCAGTCATCCAGAATTCAGAGACAGACAGACCTCCGTCCAGGGCATGGGCAAACACACCAACCTGGTGTTCATCAGGCACAAACTGGAAGCTGTGACTTTAATTTACGGTTCACTAATGAGGGCAGGTGTGCACAGGAGAGACACGAGTTGCAGTGCTAACTAACAACCATCAGAGAGGGGAGGTTAAAGGATCATTCCCTCCATGTAGAGCTACATCAGGGTGTACTTTAGATGACACGTGCCTTTCTATTTCTTTTTCAACTGTTTTATCATGCCGCACACCGTGTCGGTTGAGTGCACATGTATGGTGTGATCGGAGCACATACAAAAAAACAGGCAATCATGACAGAGGGAGCATAATTGTGTGCTCCACAGACCAAACTAAATCTGAAAACTGGGAGTTCAACAAAGATGGCGCCAGGCGTCGCAGAGAGCCAAACCGGTGCTTGGAAAGGAAGCGGGAAGCAAGTGTTGGGCAAGGTTGGATAAGATGGCACCTCGTACTTGAACATGACACATTGGTCCCATCGGAGAGGCATTTTATTTTCCCAAAATTGGTTTCTTTCAGCCGGTCACCAATTTTCTTTAGATGAAATGATCTCTTTCATGCTTGGTATGTCGGGAAGACTGTGATCATGCCGGGTTTGGTTCACTTGGTTATCCTCGGCTTCATTTCACCTCATTCCATTGCTGAAGAATGTGAAAGCAAAGCTGTGTACGTTTCTCCCTCATGTCTTTGTCAGGCCCGGCTGGGACATGAAACCTATTTCTAGAATAGATAGTGGTCCTGTACAGTGAGGTAGTCTGTCCCCTGCGAGATGGGCAGAGGACGGCGGTATGTGTCCAGCCTGGCAATGTCCCGAATTGCAATCCTGTGTAGGTGGATACTGAGAATTTGGGGTGGTATTTTGGTTCTGATACAACTTGACTCAAGATGGGCTGCAGCACGACCCGCCAAATGTGCCAAGCCCACCCCGTATCTGATGGAGCTGTGAGCTATGACCCTTACAATGTGATGCCATATACAAATAAGCACATTATGAGCCCATATTGTCTGACTTCCATCATGGGAATATCATTCTGTATAATCTGTGTTTTTGTCATTTGCTAGGATCCATTTAATTTTCAGATCATCTTTTCTCTTCCATTTTGTTTTCTGCACTATTCATGCTTTCTGTCCTTTTCCTTTTGTATTTTTGGTTAACAACAATGTCCCCACCCTCCCTTCTGTCTTTTCTTCCTCAACTGGTTTGTCATTCTCTTCTATTGTTATCCTCTTTTCCTCCTGTTTTTTCGTGCTGTTCTTCCCTCCTTATAATGTCCCTTTCCGCTGTCGTCCAATTTCTTGATGTCCTCCATTATTATTCTTTCTTCATTCCATGCCTTGCTGCTCTCCTCCACCATTCTTCTGTCTTCCACATTTCCTATTGTCCTTCATGTTTCTTCCACCATCTTCCTTCATTCTTCTCTCCACCTCCTTCCATGTCTTCCTGCTGCCCTCCATCATTTTGTCTCTCTTGCTCTCCTGTTGTACCATTTGTTCTCCATTATTCTCCTCTAATCTTCCGATGTCTTCTTGCTGTCTTCCTCCCATGTATTCTTCTCCATTATTCACCTCCA